GGCGTAGTCGTGGCGGTATCGCGATCGTGGTGGCACGATTCTGCCTGGAAGGGAGGAAGAGTTGAGCGCGCACGTGATCAGTGTACACGTGTGTGTGTGTGTGTGTGTGTGTGTGTGTGTGTGTGTGTGTGTGTAGGTGTGTGTAGGTGTGTGTGTGTGTGTGTGTGTGTGTGTGTGTGTGAGTAGCGGTGTGAGGGTCACAGACTCGCAGGCCTAGCTGTCACCACATCTTGTCACTCGCAGTGGATAACGTCATCTGGGACGCACTGCCACAACATGGGCCGGAGCATCTGCGGATGTTCGATGCGCTCTGGCTGCTGCAGTCCCAGCGCACCGCATGTGTGTGTACGCACACACACGCGCGCACACACATACACAAACACACAGTGCACACACGCCGACACTTACACCAACACTTGCTGGCAGCACCCTTCTACGTCCGTGAAGGTCTGCACTCTGTATTTTATAAAATAAAATGCTCCTGCCTCGTCCCACATTGGTAACCATGTTAAATGAACGCACACATGCATTTCCTTGCTGGCCAGAAGCATGCGCCATGGCTCGCCACTCGTGTTTTTGCTGCACTGGGACACTGCAAGAAAAAGTGTGAATAGTACAACAAAAGTACCACAAAAACTGTACAAAAAAGTACAACAGGGATTGTATAAAGTACGACGAGAGACCAAGACTGCCCACCACTCGCGGTTCGATTGTTGTACGACAATTGTTGTACTTTAAGAGTGCAATAAATTCCTGCCAAATCACCCAAAAATTACCTAGTTCACATTCAAACGAATGTGACACAATGCTCAAACGAACGTGACATTTTCTGACATTTTGTCACCTTTGTTCCAACGTGATGTCACGTACTTGGAATGGGGGTGATATCATCAAATGTTTTGATGACATACTTGCGAGGAAAATTAGCCTTGACATTGTCACCAAGAGGCAACCAAAATTTACGCAGTGCTCCCGTCATTCCCGGAGAACTGCCACATCCCATTGTTGGCAGTGACGTCGCAGGGGCACGCCGGGCAGGCTGCGGTGGCACCGCATCGCGCCGCACTGAGCTGCCGCGCTGCCGCTGCGGCGCTCTAATGTGATCCCCTTGGTCCCTGACAGCGTGTTGCCGCACACCGTAAGCCCATTCACGCTAACTCGTCATTTACCGTGTGCCCTTCAAGGGCGCAGATCTCGCGCACAGGGTTTTGCACCCCCCCCCCCTCCTCCCCCTTCCCCTCGCTTCCTCACACCGGAAGAAGCTGGAGTCCCCGCGGGCAGGCCGGAAGTATCATCGTGCTGTGTACCTCATCCCGCTGCTCGCTCCTTATTTTGATAACCCCCCTCCCTCTCCCTCCCCTAAGGGGTAAGCATTTCGAGTAATGGAAATAATCAGGTCACGGGTCCCTGATACTACGCGTCACAGTAATGGCTTGGTTAGCCACACTTTCCCTTCACGGAGGGGGCGAGGAAACGTTCCTCGCCCAAATTTGGTTGATAAGGAATTCCTCGCCCAAAATTTTAGTCATGATGATGACTCTTTCATTCTCAGTGTACGGCGAAAGCACGCAGCGAGGTCCGCGGTGCGCCACACCAACCAGTTGCGCGGCGGGGCTGGCTGGCCACGTCTGGCTTGGGGCTTCCACGGCCATCTCGCCTAGTCTCGCCGGCCCACCCCGCGCCACGGCCACGCCGCCACGCCTCATCTGTTCAGTTCATGTTTATTTATGAGACATCGCGACGTCTTCTTGTTCCGTTCGGTTTTCGCGGCAACAGCAGACTGATTCGTTGTCGCCGCTGTCTCTCTCGCACGGGACGCCCCATGAGTGCGAGAGAGACAGACCGGCGAAATCGACTCTCATTCAATGGGCGCGACGCGACGCCCGCGAGGTGGGCCGTGCGCCGCGCTCCGCTGTAAGGCGGTCCCCAGCAGACTGAGAGTCGTTTTCGTCGCTCTGTCTCTCCCGCACTCATGGCGCGTCCCGTGTATGTGCGAGAGACGAAAACGCGACTCTCGGAATCAGTCTGCAGGCGTAGCGTTGACTTTCCTCAGGCATACCGTGGCCTTCCCCCTGCCGTGGCAGGGCGTGGCGGGGCGTGGCGTGCCACAGTGGGCCAGAAGACCGGTCATCGTCATCGGCGCTGTTAGGCCTCAGCAGACCTCTAGCGTTCGAGTAAGCAGCTACTGTAGGAGGCGGCCAAAATTCTGGACGCGTTTTGAGCTCCAAAATCGCTAAATAGGACTCGAACCGAACGTGTGACCCCACCAATGGATTCCTCGTCCGAAGAGCCATCCATTGGTGGGGTCACACGTTCGGTTCGAGTCCTATTTAGTGACTCTGGAGCTCAAAACGCGTCTAGAACTTTGGCCACCTCCACCGGTCTTCTGGCCCACTGTGCGTGCTGCGTGCCCTGGGCTCCCTCCGAGCGGCCGTTCAGCGGATATTAGAGACAAAGGGAACGCTCCGGGCCGCCTCGAGGCTCATTCCGAACAGGGCGCTGGAACGGAAGGGCGGCGCGTTGAGGCACTTGAGGGCGGGCGTGGCGTGGCGCCCTACGCTCAGAAGTCGAGAGTAAACAAACTGCCTACACAGTTGTACACAACTGGAAAAAATGTTTCCAGTATATTTTGGGAAAAGGTGGACGTCTCGTCTGGGCCTCCTAAGGACCCAACGCGTCCAAGTTATGGACGTGAAGCCACCCCAAGGCTGCTAGTTGAACCCCTAACTTGTGGAGGTTTTGGCTGCCGGCGCCGGTCTTCTGGCCCACTGCCGGGCGAGCAGGGCGGCCTTCGGCGGGGCGGGCGCCGCGACTGGCGGCCGAAAGTGACACCACTTTCTGCAACTCGCAAAAAAAAAGCAGCGAGGAGGCGGCATAGAAAAACGAACGGCAATATGAGACTTGTTTGTCCTGCGAGTGTCGCGGCGCAGGCGGCGGGAGGTCAGGGAGCTGGCCGGGGGCGGCCAGGGGGGCGGCCAGGGGGCGGCCAGGGGGGCGGCCAGGGGGCGGCCAGGGGGGCGGCCAGGGGGCGGCCAGGGGGGCGGCCAGGGGGCGGCCAGGGGGGCGGCCAGGGGGCGGCCAGGGGGGCGGCCAGGGGGCGGCCAGGGGGGCGGCCAGGGGGCGGCCAGGGGGGCGGCCAGGGGGCGGCCAGGGGGCGGCCAGGGGCGGCCAGGGGGGGGGCCAGGGGGCGGCCAGGGGGGCGGCCAGGGGGCGGCCAGGGGGCGGCCAGGGGGCGGCCAGGGGGCGGCCAGGGGGCGGCCAGGGGGCGGCCAGGGGGCGGCCAGGGGGGCGGCCAGGGGGCGGCCAGGGGGCGGCCAGGGGGCGGCCAGGGGGCGGCCAGGGGGCGGCCAGGGGGCGGCCAGGGGGCGGCCAGGGGGCGGCCAGGGGGCGGCCAGGGGGCGGCCAGGGGGCGGCCAGGGGGCGGCCAGGGGGGCGGCCAGGGGGCGGCCAGGGGGCGGCCAGGGGGCGGCCAGGGGGCGGCCAGGGGGCGGCCAGGGGGCGGCCAGGGGGCGGCCAGGGGGCGGCCAGGGCGGCGGGGGCCAGGGGGCGGCAGGGGGCGGCAGGGGGCGGCCAGGGGGCGGCCAGGGGGCGGCAAGGTGCTGCCGAACCCTTCCGCGCCCGGAGTGGCGGAGTGGCGGCTGGGGGCCGCGCTGGAGGTTACGGGCGAGACGGTAATGGAGCGGTGAAGGCTGTGACGGCGGAGGCCGTCGGCGCGCTGTCTCACTCGCACTCAAGGGGTGGCCCGTCGCGGTGCGAGACAGACAGAGCGAACCTTCGGACACGACCCAGGGGTGCTGGCCAGAGGCGAGTCTGGGCGCCTTGTCGTGGCGTGCGCGTGGCGTGCGCGTGGGTCTCGGCCGGCTCCTTGGCCCCTGGGACGTGCCGCGCTGTGCCGTGGGCTGCCGTGGCTGCCGTGCCTCCAACTTGGCCGCCAGAGTCAACTAGTCGACCCGCAGCCGGGACGCGGTCGGCGGGGACCGCCCCTCGACGCACACGCGGACACGCAAACACACGGCACGCGCACGGACAATAGTTGCAGCAGCCAAACTTGCGACTCCCTGCGTCCACCTCTGCATAGGTGAATAGCTGGACCGATGGGAGCTCAAAACGCGTCCGGGATTTTGACCGCCGCCACCGGTCTTCTGGCCCACTGCGCCGTGAAGCAGCCAGAGAGACGCGAGCAAACACGATCTCAGTCTGCGCGGCCAGCGGCCCGGCCCCAGGCAGCGGTCCTCGTTTTTCGTGATGACCACAAGGGCTTTGTCTTGTCGACATTCGATACCGCTGCTATCATTTCGTCTGGCGGGGCTCCTCCCGTCCCGCCGGCCGCGTGGCGGGGCGTGGCGGGGCGGTGCCCTCCCGCCCTTTCCAACCTCGACCAAGTAGTGCTCCCTTGCCCTTTGCAACACCGACGTACTGCCCCTATCCCTTCCCACCCTCGTAAAGACCTCCAGCCAGAACAGGTCTCCACCGGTCTTCTGGCCCCTGTCCATTCTCCAATCCTTTTCATTTTTTAGCAGATGATACCTTTACTTAAAAACATACCTAAAACTACAACTGCAAGATACATAAAGGTGTCAGCTAGCTTTTACTCGAGAGTCCAAAAACCAAGTACATATCCTAACAATATAATAGGGGCTGGCTGCCGGGGCGGGATGGTGCGGCTGTCTGTGGCTGGCTGCGGCGCAGCCTGCGCGGAATTCGCGACAATGGAACCCCCCTCGCGCGCGACGGCCTGCGAGCAACATTGACAATCCCTCCCCGCTACAGCCCAGGGGCACCGGGTGCTCGCAATCCAACGGACACGGCGCGGCGGTGCAGGCCAAGGCACAAAGGGCTCAGTTTTTAAATAATATCTTTGGAATGAGCCCATACTACCCCGTAGAAGAAAACCAAACGAGTATCATCTGCTTTCATTAACGTTCGTTGAATGAGATTTTTTTCAAGCAATTGTGTGCTTGTGTGCGTGTCGGTTTTTCAAACATGCCCCCCTGTTGCAGGCTATGTACTACATCCTGCTGGGCCGCCTCCAGGTGGACGACGCCAAGCTGCTGGAGCAGCGCAAAGCCGCGTGCGAGGCCGAGATGCAGCGTCAGCGCGCTCTGGAGGGTAAGCCGGCCAAGCCAAGGCCAAGCCATGGCTTGCCACCTGCCGCAAAGATGCTTGCCCAGCAACTCATGGCCCGTCTACCACCACACTACTGCAAAGCCAGTGGCAAGTTTGCGTGCCACAAAATTCGCAAGCCATTTTGAATAAAGAAAATTGACTAGCCTGGTCCTAGAATGGTCCCTCCAACTTTCGATGAAAAATGCCATTATTTTGAGATGGAGTTATCATTGTTTGAAAGTCTTGGAAATGTTATCTACTATATCGTACAAGGTAGGTTTACGCCAGACCGCGCCTTGTCGTAACAGGCTTCGCGATGTCTCGCTGCCTGCTCCTCCAATCCACGCCTGGCGTACCTACCTTGGCCTGCGGCGCTAGCCTGCCTGCGGCAGGCAATGGCTTGTCCGTTGTCGGTTATTTTTTAACTTGTTGAATGCTGGGGGGCCAGACCCCTCTACATTGTAAATAGAGTTGTTTTATCTACAGGTAACACGATCTTGACCCTTGTCACTTTTTAACTTGTCAAGGCTGGGGGGCTCCGCCCCCCAGACCCCCCTTTCTCCAAGACAGAAGTGGTTTATCTGCAGAAATCTCTATTTTTCGCCGTTTTTTAGGTGTTTTTCGCTTATAAAAACTGAACCAGTTGAGCTAGGATGGTGAAATTTCGCGTGTGCCGAGCCAAGGACATACCTAAGAAGTGTGCAAAATCTCACCGAGATCGGCCGAGCCGTTCAGGAGGAGTAGTGCGGACAGACAGACCGACAGACAGACAAAACTTTTCAACCCCACTGGAGTAACAGGCTTCGCTATCGCTCAGCCAATCATCGAGTGACAACCAATTTTGACAGTGTGCCGAGGAGTGCAATTACTGGGACTTGACAAAGGCGCCCCTGTCGGTTGGGGATCCCGCCGGCGTCCTGCAAGGCTTAGCGCCCCGGGCCAGCAGGGCCAGCAGGGCCAAGGGCTGAAGGGCGGGCTGTCCCCTGTCGCAGCTTCCTGGCTGGGCCCTTGTCATGCAGGGCCCGGGCCCCGCCACAACCACTTACGCCCCTCGGCGTCCCCCCGGCCACCGTGGCGTGCTGGCGGACATGAAGCTCTCCGTGTTTGCTGCCCAGTGTCTGCACCGTCAACAGACGACGAGTGTTTGCTGCCGCGCTATACCGCCGTTCCGCAGTGTGCCATTCTTCACAAAGTACCGCCAACTCGAGAGAGGGGAGTGGAGGGCTTTGTGTTGTTGTTGTTCCGTGCGAGTCCATATTGGGACCTGCCGACTGATTCCGTCGCTCTGTCTTCCTCAAGGGGGCGAGAGAGACAGAGAGAGAGGAACACGACTCCCGGAATCAGTCCGCTAATTGGAATATGCTGCTGCCATGCAGAGGGAGACTGTTTTGTTGCCGTCTCCTGACCTTCTCGTTACGCAGTGGAGGCCCACGCTCGCACGGCAGTTACGGCGTGCGTGGGCCGCAGGCCGCGCTGGCCTGGCAAGGGCGGGGGCTGCTGTCGGCAGTGCGGCGCGCCGCGGCGTGGGAACCCCTTCCGGCGCTACACAGTAAAAACGGTTCCTGTGTACAACTGACACCTGCGCATCGAGTGCGTCAAGTACAAAAAGTTGGCATGCAACGGCTTGTTCGTGTCGAGCTAACTTGCCACCGTCTTTGCAGTATGCCTGTATCCCCGAAAGCGTTACGAATGGCAAATGGTAAACGAGTATTCTAGGCCATGCCCGGCCATGCCGCGGGCAGTAACCGTATCATCTGGACAAGAGCGCACAAACAACACGCAAGATTACCGCCCGTAGCGCTGGCTGTCGACGGGGCCACGAAAAGAGTCCTCTCGGTTCCTGATCCGTTCCACTGTTGCGGAAGACGCAATCTCTGAGGTTCACCGGACATAGCAACACGTAAAAGGCATTCAAGGGAAATGGCATTGATCCTTATAAGCCCGGCGGTTCCCCAGCCCGCTGCAACCCGATTGGCTCGAGGCGGTCGAGGATGGCCGAATCAAGATGAGAGGGCACGGTCTTAAATTCAATCTGTTTGGGGCGAGTCGGACTTGGTGCCCCCGGGACGCTCCCACCGGGATGCCTCCTTCCACGACCATTCTTCCGGACAAGTTCCGCCTCCGTGCGGCCCGCGCGTCCCCGGAGGCTGCTGCAAGGCGCGGAACCCCAGAGGCACTTCGACTCGCAGTTCAAAGATCCACCAAGAGTTGACTAACTTAATTTCCTGTTTATTCTGTTAAAATGTTACGCCAGCTCTGAACCCCGTCTCTCCCTCTAAATGTGCTGTGTAAGAAGTCCCCTTAGGCCATCAAGGTTCAATGATGACGTGCCCCTTCCTCTCCCTCGACACACACATACAGGTAATAAATTGGTGTCCAACGAACCAGCAGCCTCTAAGAAAACCTTACAATGAAATGTCTATTTCCTGTATGAGTCATTAGCTGATTGGCTGAGAGCGATGACAATTACTTACCAGATGGGGTCGAAAATAATCTCCCGTCAAGAATTGAGAGGTTGAACTTCTGCACGGTTAAAGCCCTAAGTATGTCGAGCGTATCTAGAGCACAAACTTTTTAACTTGTTATACGAAGAAATAGTTCGATGAAGTATTCTCTTTGAAAATTTATCTTATGTTCAAAATACTTTGACAAGCAACCTTCCTTTTTAAGGCCTGCGTAAGGTTCTGAGAGTGAGGCTTTCGCTGTTTGGCGGTTGAAAGCGGGCCGATGAAGCAAACATTGACGTGGAACTACCGCATCGACACGTGTAAGTGGGTCATTGACCTTGCCCCAGAGGGCCCAGCCAGGCCCAGCGCCCCGCGAATATAGACCAGCTTTTGGCGGGACGCTTTGCGGAACCAACGACCACAACCGTGGCTGTTTGCAGCGATGCATGCGGGCACAATCTGTAATGTGCTGTGCCATGGCAAGAGTGCCCCGCTTTCAGGGGCCAGTTTGCGAATGAGGAAAAAGAGAGAGCAGTGGTGAAACAAAGGTAAATAAGATGTATCCGTACAAGGCGTTAACAGTTTACGCCCCTGAAAACGGCGTGGTTATCGTTATGGTACATGGTGAAACATCGTAGTAGCGAAGGAGTTTGCTTCGTATCACGAAGTGATGCTTCTAAGATTTCGTAGACATTTTGCTGTGCAGCTCTATTCCAAGGTGTCGGTGTTTACTGAAAACGGCAGCCGACGAAGCAAGAGCATCACAATAGACCTTCCTCACCTGGTGTTTACACATGAGGAGAACGCATTGTGACTGACTTCTGCCCCTTCTTTTTCCTCTCCCCTTTTCCCCTTCTCCCCTTCCCCAACGAGCCGTGGTATTATATTTGGCTGCAGTTATTGAAAGCCGCCCCCACCCTTCCCTCTTTTCCCCCAGCGTCAAAGTGAAAAGTAAAAGCCTAGCCCGCCTGTCTGCCGGGGCCGCCTGCTCTGCCTCCAAATCGCGGCCTGGCCACCTCCTTCCTCGCACCCCTTCCATACTACGTGGATCGCCTTGGACGCCTTGGCCGTTCATGCGGCCGCTCGGCCAAACACGAAAGCAATCTGCCCGCCGCACTCATCTCTGGGCAATAAAGATTTCGAGATCGCTCGCGCCCCGCTACGCCCCGAGCGGGCGTAGTTGTCGATACATCGATAAGGTCGATGCCTCGAAGGGCCTGATACCTTGGAAAGGTCAATACCTCCATACCTTATTGAGGTCGACCTCAATACCTTATTGAGATCGATACCTCGATGCCTTATTGAGATCGATACCTCGATACCTTATTGGGATCGATTCTTCGAAACCTTATTGAGGTCGATACCTCGATACCTTATTGAGGTCGATACCTCGATACCTTATTGAGGTCGATACCTCGATACCTTATTGAGGTCGATACCTCGATACCTTATTGAGGCCGCTGATACAATAGGCGATATCCCAATACCTAATTGAGGTCGACACGTCGACACCTTGATATCTCGATACACCTTATTAAGGTTCATATCTCTATGAGCTCGATATCTTGATGAGATCAAGACCTCCTAAAGGACGATATCTCGAAAGTCGTATATCGTATGTGACGGTGCACAAACAACTGTGATGTTTCGTGCACAAGTGTACATAACATTTAGTGTGGACGAAGTAGAAACTCGGACGCTATCTCCGCCGCCGGCAGCCTTCCACCACGACACACAACCTTTTTCCCGCTTGGCTTCGCATTTTTCGCAGACTGGTCTCGTCCTCGGCCTTTTCCGCAGCCGGCGGCATTCGCTGAGGGAAACTCGCAACTGGGAGTCGAGCGTCGAGAAAAGGGGGTGGGGTTGGGGGGTTGTGTGCTGTGCCAGCTGCCTAACCTACCCCCGCCTGCCCCCTCATTGGTATTCGGTGCAGCCTTGCAACATGCAGCCAGCCGCGGCCCTGGAGCACCCCCCCTCCCCCCGGCCCCTGCCAGACCGCCTGCCTTCATAGTGCAGTGCAGCAACAACACAGACTCGCGGCGGAAAGGGGCGACAAACTGCTTCATTGTCTGGGCTAGGCCCAGCAAGGACGCCGCAGGGATTTCTAACTCCACATACAATTCTAGGGGGGAAAATGTTGATGATGAAATTCACAGCTTCCGGACGTAAAACTTATTAATGTGGCGTCGTTAAGTCTGTTAGTGGAGGTGGGTGAAGGGGCAACCACTCCAGAAATCCAGTGCCATGTTTCGCTGAAGCACGATGCTCTTGGTGTTGCAGAGGCACAGCCTGTGGCCGTGGTGCAGTGCCCTGTGGACTGGGACGCCGTCAACTGCTGGCCCTCCACGCCCGCGGGGCTCACGGCGTGGGAGCCGTGTCCCGACTACATCCGCAATTTCAACAACACGGTGAGCACGTGCCACTAGTCGCCGAGCGAAGAAACGCTTTTGCTCAAGCTATTATGTGGTTCCCAAGTGGTTCCCGGCTTTCTGATTACTTTTGCTCCTCACTCCAACTGAAAGAGTGGATTCTCAGACTGCTTACTTACATTATTGTTAATCGATGTTTTGAAAAGCAGTTGTTTCCTGTTGCAGGTCGAAGTCAGCAGACATTGTTCTCCAGCGGGCGTCTGGGTCGGGAACGATTCTTGGACGTACAGCAACTATTCAAAATGCTTCGGCGACCTTCGGGTCAACGACTCCCCGGCCGGCGGAGCGGTGAGTGCACACGTCGAATCTTGCGTAACACAGGGTCATCAACGGATTTAGCTGCACTAGAAGTTGCGAATAGTTTTGATCGCACTGTGAAAAGAACTTGGAATAATATCTGAATAGGGTATTTTCGCAACACTTAAAACGGAAGGAAGAAGATCACAAGTAACGGCACAACTTCCGTCCCCTCGCCCGAGGAGGGGTTAAAGATGGCTGCCCCTTGAACCCCTTCCTCGCAGGCGAGGGGACGGAAGTTGAAGTGTTCGTCTTCCTTCCATTTTCGCGGGAATACGTACCCCATGGTTCGCTGCTTCAATGCAGCAAAACTCTTTGCGAGAGGCTCCAACAGTGTGGCATCGGGTGGGGCGGCGATCGGAACGTCTTTTGACAGTGCCGGGCGCTGCGCTGCCCCGCCTCAAGAAGGGGCATGCGGCGTCTAATTCATGTAGTCAGTTTTACCGTGAGCTGCCTGGTCAACTAATTATAAAACTCCGCGGGAGTCCGAGCGCGAGACCTTCACGCTGAAAGATTTTAACGGGGCGCTGCCTGGAATCCGTGTTCGTGACGATTTGAAATTTCATGAACAAATCTGCATGTTTTAAATTCAAATATGTGAGACCGCTTTCAAATTATGGCAACGTCTTTTAGTGTGTACTATTCTTGCAGTTTGGTAATCTGTCTGTTGTTGTCCAGTGGGTGCTGGACCTGTGGATACCCGTCGTGAAGAAGGTGGCCCAGCTGGGGTACAGCGTGTCGCTCTGCACACTCATCCTTGCCTTCCTCGTCCTCCTCTCCATCAAGTGAGTACTGCATGCAGGTCAACAAGTATGGAAATATACACGAGTATGCATTAATCAGCACACTAAATTACTATGTAGGTTTTTCTGCGCGACAATGCACGATTTTCTGCATACTTGCGCATGAAATCGTGCATTATCGCGCTTAAATTCGTGCATGTTTAATTTCGTGCATTGCCCCTGACAAACTGAGGGCCAGGTCAACTCGGGGGTAACTCGGGGGTAACTCAGGGGTAACTCGGGGGTAACTCGGGGGTAACTCAAGGGGAAGTCGGGGGGAACTCCGGGGGAAGTCGGGGGGAACTCGGGGGGAAGTCGGGGGGAAGTCGGGGGGAAGTCGGGGGGAACTCAGAGGCAAGTCGGGGGAACTCGGGGGGAACTCGGGGGCAAGTCGGGGGGAACTCAGGGGTAACTCGGCGGCAAGTCGGGGGGAACTTGATCGACTCGCCCAAACACTAGAAATACGCTCCAAACTAGCACCGTTGCCTTTGTCTCGTTGCCCCGATTCCAAAAGTGCCCCTACTTGCCCCTCTAGCTCAGCGGTTCCCAACCTTGGGGTCGCGACCCCAAATGGGGTCACGAAAAAATTTTGAGGGGTCGCGGCGAGGTGGCTGGGGTCGCCTGGGGTCGCGGTGGTTTCCCGGCTGGCCCACACGCCGAGCACTGGCTGCTTAAATGCCGCAAAGTTGATCAAAACGGTCACAAATGTGTGTAAAAGATCGTGTTTTGGGTCGACTTTAAGCATCCACTGCTTCTGATCCGAGGCGGTAAATCGCCCTCCCTTAACGGGCAATTGGTCTTTGGACCTTCCTTTTGCATGCCTTTGTTACGGAGTGCGATTATCTGCCTTAGTTTGGGAGCAGTTTTGCCGCAAAGTTGGTCTAAACAGTCACAAATGTCTGTGAAAAATCGTTTTTTGGGCCGACTTTAAGCATCCACTGCGTCTGATCCAAGGCGGTAAATCGTCATCCCTCAACGCTCAATTGGTCTTTAGACTTTCATTTAGCATGCCTTTGTTACGGAGTGCGATTATTTGCCTTAGTTTGGGAGCAGTTTTGCCACAAAGTTGATCAAAACTCGATTTTTCAGACATTTGTGACCGTTTTGATCTATTTTGCGGCAAAACTGCTACCAAACTAAGGCAGATAATCGCACTCCGTAACAAAGGCATGCTAAAGGAAAGTCTAAAGACCAATTAACTGTTGAGGGAGGGCGATTTACCGCCTCGGATCAGACGCAGTGGATACTTAAAGTCGGCCCAAAACACGATTTTTCACAGACATTTGTGACTGTTTAGACCAACTTTGCGGCAGTACTGCTTCCAAACTAAGGCAGATAATTGCACTCCGTAACACAGGCATGCAAAAGGAAGGTCCAAAGACCAATTGCCCGTTGAGGGAGGGCGATTTACCGCCTCGGATCAGAAGCAGTGGATGCTTAAAGTCGACCCAAAACACGATCTTTTACACACATTTGTGACCGTTTTGATCAACTTTGCGGCATTTAAGCAGCCAGTGCTCGGCGTGTGGGCCAGCCGGGAAACCACCGCGACCCCAGGCAACCCAGCCACCTCGCCGCGACCCCTCAAAATTTTTTCGTGACCCCATTTGGGGTCGCGACCCCAAGGTTGGGAACCGCTGAGCTAGAGGGGCAAGTAGGGGCACTTTTGGAATCGGGGCAACGAGACAAAGGCAACGGTGCTAGTTTGGAGCGTATTTCTAGTGTTTGGGCGAGTCGATCAAGTTCCCCCCGACTTGCCGCCGAGTTACCCCTGAGTTCCCCCCGACTTGCCCCCGAGTTCCCCCCCAGTTCCCCCCGACTTGCCCCTGAGTTCCCGCCGACTTCCCCCCGACTTCCCCCCGAGTTCCCCCCGACTTCCCCCCGAGTTCCCCCCGACTTCCCCTTGAGTTACCCCCGAGTTACCCCCGAGTTACCCCTGAGTTACCCCTGAGTTACCCCCGAGTTGACCTGGCCCTCAGTTTGTCAGGGGCATGGCGCGCAGAAAAACCTACATAGTACTTAGGTGTCCGACCGACACTGCTAGAGCTGCTTTCTCTGTGACTCGCAGGAGGCTTCGGTGTCCGCGCAACAACCTCCACATGCACTTGTTCGCCTCCTTCATGCTGCGCGCCGCCATGTACCTCCTCAAGGACGTGCTGTTCGTTCGCGGCGTGGGGCTGCCCGATGACGTCAGCGAGGTGGACGGCACCGTCTTCTTCCTCCCGGGACGCACTGTGAGTCTCCGAGAGTCTCCTATTAGAGTCTCCTATCCTACATCCTCCCATCTGAGAGTCCTCTATTTTCGTATCCCATCGTGCCCTAGACTATCCAAGGGTCTGCGACAGTCAGGAGGCACGAGGCCTCCTTGGCGATGCGGGCGTTGCATTGGCGTTCCGGCAACAGAGCCACTCCTCGCCACAGCGGAACAATTTCACGCGCAATGTACCCCCGGACCGAGTTGCATCGTTGTTCTCTCTCCCTCTCTCTCCCTCTCTTCTCCCTCTCCCTCCCTCTGCCTCCCTTCCTCCCCCTCCCTCTCCCTCCAAAACGCCCGCCGTTCTTGCCGGAATCGCGCATCATTCCTCGTAGCGGGCCGAGACGGTCTCGCGAGAAACCGCTCTCACATTTCGCGAATCGGAGACATCCATCCGGCGGGGAAGTCGGCGCGCCTTGCCCGCCTTGCCTCGCCGCCGGCCTGAGGTGTCTGTCTGGACGTCGGGGGTTTCTTTTCGGCCGTGTCTGCGCGGAAAGTTAATTAGATTCCCCTCTCCTATTTCGTGGCACGCCAACTGCGCTGAAATACTCGGCGAGCCAGGTGTTCAACTTGCAGGCTTTCTGTGGAGCGGCAGCGCGGCAGTAAGGTGGTTGTACACCATACAGCGAGGCTGGCCAGATCTCACCCACTTTAACTCGCTGTGCTTCGTGTGCTCGATTGAACCAATGTATTCCTCGATCGGAGAGTAATTCGTGGGGTCACACTTTCGTTTCGAGTCAGCACGATACTGACTTTTTGCTATTTGTCTGTACTAATGCATGTAATTTGTGCAACCATAATACGTACTTTTCTTGTTTTAAATAATTACTCGCGCTGCTCGCTGGGGGCTCCGCCCCCAGACCCCCGCATGTGTGGGGCGCGTACCGAAGTATTTTTAGTAAGTCCGTGGTGACCAAAGGGAAATTTTCTAATGAAGTAACTGTACTGCTTTTTGGAAGGGTCTATTTAACTGCTTTTGACCATTAATTTATAAGGCACTATTACTGCCCAAAAAAAAAGCTTGTATTGTATTGGCTACTGTGGCAGTCAACGGCATTCAAGGTCCGGAAAATATTGAAGACTGCTTTGACAAGAATAAGATCTGTGTTCATTATGGTCAATGTGACCGAAGGCCAATCTAATGGGCCTCTTTTGCGTCTTTCATTTCTGATTTCTCCGGCAATATATTACATGGCTTTTACTGCTCGGAAACAGTTGTATTTTGTTCAATTTAGCCCTATTTCATCGTTTTGAGGATGTTGCCGGTGACGGGAACCCGATTGCGGCACAGTTTCGGAAATGCCTCGACCAGACCTACCGAAAAGGCGAATAAAAATGTTCAGTCGGTCGGTCCCCTTTTTTGAAGATTGAGTGGATTTTGCTAAATTTAGGCCTATTTAATCGTTTTGAGGATGTTGCCGGTGACGGAGACCCGATTGCGGCACAGTTTCTGAAATGTCTCGACCAGACCTACCGATGGGGCGAATAAAATTTTTTAGTCGGACGGTTCCCTTTTTTGAAGATTGAGTGGATTTTGTTAAATTTAGGCCTATTTTATCGTTTTTGAGGATGTTGCCGGTGACAGGAACCCGATTGCGTCACAGTTTCGGAAATGTCTCGACCAGACCTACCGATGGGGCGAATAAAAATTTTTAGTCGGTCGGTCCCCTTTTTTGAAGATAGAGTGGATTTTGTTAAATTTAGGCCTATTTAATCGTTTTTGGGGATGTTGCCGGTGACGAGGACCCGATTGCGGCACAGTTTCGGAAATGTCTCGACCAGACCTACCGATGGGGCGAATAAAAATTTTTAGTCGGTCGGTCCCCTTTTTTGAAGATAGAGTGGATTTTATTAAATTTAGGCCTATTTAATCGTTTTTGGGGATGTTGCCGGTGACGAGGACCCGATTGCGGCACAGTTTCGGAAATGTCTCGACCAGACCTACCGATGGGGCGAATAAAAATTTTTAGTCGGTCGGTCCCCTTTTTTGAAGATAGAGTGGATTTTGTTAAATTTAGGCCTATTTAATCGTTTTTGAGGATGTTGCCGGTGACGAGGACCCGATTGCGGCACAGTTTCGGAAATGTCTCGACTAGACCTACCGATGGGGCGAATAAAAATTTTTAGTCGGTCGGTCCCCTTTTTTGAAGATAGAGTGGATTTTGTTAAATTTAGGCCTATTTAATCGTTTTTGGGGATGTTGCCGGTGACGAGGACCCGATTGCGGCACAGTTTCGGAAATGTCTCGACCAGACCTACCGATGGGACGAATAAAAATTTTTAGTCGGTCGGTCCCCTTTTTTGAAGATTGAGTAGGTTTGCTCGGAAACGGTGAGGAATTTGTTCCCCTTTTTTGAAGATAAAGTAGGTTTGCTCGGAAACGGTGAGGACTTTTCAACTTTTGGGATTTTTCCCAATTTTCCCATAAAATTTGGAATCGAATGGAAAAAACCGCAAGTCTCTACGACCACTCCTTGACCCCAAACATTTCTATGAGTGAGTCAGTGAGTGAGTGAGTCAGTCGGATTGGGGCTTTATAGGTTCTTGATTGTTGCTTATATGAATACGTAATTAATGAGATGGTACATGGCTTTACAAACGGTGTCGCCTCACGTCACGCGCTCTCTCTCGCTCACCCAGGGAATGATTTACTTGTTACAAAAAAAATTGCATCAGCACAAGACAAAATTTGTCTCACGGCTGGGCAATGCAGGTGTTGTGATTGTTAAAAGTATGTTCTCTGTCTCCCTGCTATGCAAAATTTATCTCTGTTCGAGACAAAATTACGTTGTCTCAAGAGGTTTTTAATCAATTTGATTCAGACCCAGCATCAGCGATGTGACGTCAGGCAGCAATATTTTCTTGCTATTTTTGTCTCTGAATTTTGCTCGGCACAATGCTGCTTTTTGCATCAAGTAGTGAGAAAAGAACATTTTCTCAGTCTGAGACTAACATTCTTGTTTCTGCTGCGCCTGCGCACTTCTGATCTCTTCGACCAATGACAAGCAGAGCGGGAACTGCTTCGAACGGTAACCCGGTCCCTGATTGGCTGTGGCCTGCCATACTGAAGAGGAGCGGCGCGTTCCATGGCTCTCTCTCAAACGCGTCGGAGCAGCAACTGCTCTCGTAGCACAGTGGTAAAGTGCCAGCCCTCCTGGATAGTAACCCGGGTTCGGTTCCCACCGAAGCGCCACCAGTTTTCACTGGCCAATTTATCACGTAGCCACCCAGAGAATGGACGGGAGTGTCAAGATTTCCGAAAAGGAGGGGGAGCAGTTTTTTTTTAGTTTTTTTGGTGGGGGAGAAGGGGCACTGGCAAAAGATAAGGCTGGCGGAACCAAACCCGGGACCTGTGACTTTCCAACGTGGGCCTTAACCCCCAAGACTGCCGGACATGCGGAAACGTGCTGCCTCACGCACTGCACATAACACAAGCACTTGCTTCGAATCCTAGCAGAGGCAACTTGTTCCCGGCGTGAATGGCTGTCGACGAGGCGGGCGCGTGTTGTATTGAGGTATACGATTAATGTAGTCACCATCGCCGCTCAAAACACGGGAAAAAATTACCGCGGTGCCGGGACTCGAAGCTGGTTCGCGGCTCGAGGCTTGCCGTGGAACGCCGCCTGAGCATCTCGGACACAGTGGTATCGATTTGGAGGCTCGACACTCGACACCATTAAAAAAATGAACTACTAGCTAGCTGAGAGTCGAACCCGGATCCTTCGGAGTCAAACGCGGGAACCGTATCCGTTGCTCTATGGAACGGGTTGGCAGCTTGGCACGCAAAGGCGGCACTTCTTTGGAGTTGAGTGGCAGGGAGTGCCTACATCGCGAAACTAAGAAAGCCGCGCGCCCAGTCACTTTCCTTCGTCGTTCCACCTTCGTGGCGAAGTGGGCAAGGCTACTGCACCCCACGTCAGAGGTTCCGAGTTCGAACCTTGCCACATGCAAGCGTTTTGTGTCAGTTCTCTCGAAACCTGAGCAAACATTTGTCTCATCCATGAGACAAAAGGCGTGAGAAAAATGCTCAATTTGAGAATAAAATGTTTGATTCGAATCAAATATTATCAAAAGTCAGGTGAGACAAAATCGAGCATCGATGCAAGTAAATCGTTCCCTGGGTGCTCTCCTTGCAGAACTGGGAGTGCAAACTCATTATCAGCTTGTGGCAGTACTCCATCATGGCCAACTACTCCTGGATCCTCATGGAGGGGCTCTACCTGCACAACCTCATCTTCCTCGCACTCTTCAGCGACAACAGCGCCATCACCCTGTACGTGGCGCTCGGATGGGGTGAGTCTCCAGCATGAAACGAGCTCGTATTGGACAGAGCCACGTATTTTCAGTGTGTGTCCGGTGTCCCAATTCGCTGCACGTTACTGACTTTCTAACCATTTTGTAATCATTTAGTACACAGTAAACTTCTTACGGATACATCCTATCTGTATTACGGACATTTTTGTGCAATTGCAATTACGGATAGATTTTGCTTGTAATACGGATGAAATCATCCGTATTACAAAGAGTTTTACGTCCGTACCATACGGATATTTTCGTCTGTATGTTACGGACGTAAAACTCTTTGTAATACGGATGATTTCATCCGTATTACAAGCAAAATCTATCCGTAATTGCAATTGCACAAAAATGTCCGTAATACAGATAGGATGTATCCGTAAGAAGTTTACTGTGTACGTGTTCGTTTAAGCAAGGAGAATACGTATTGTTTTTGACTAATTTTCTTGGTAGAATTATGTATGAAAACAAATTGTTGGTACATTATTTCGTAATTTCTAAGTAGTTCTTTGAGAAACGAAAAGTACGTATTATGGTCGCACAAACTACTTGCTGAAGTACTGACCAAAAAGTCAGTAACGTGCTGATTGTATGCCTTCACGCCCAACGGCTTCCGAACTGTCATGGGACAGTTTCGGTCCTTCCAAGCGCATCCGACCGTGATGCACTTTTGTTTCGCCCTCTGCAAGATGTTCTTTCACTTCATAATTTGTATCGTCTGGTCGCCTGAAAATTGGTAGGCAGTCCCAACGAAGAGCGCCTGCTAGGTAGGCAATTTTGATGCAACCATGCATGCGTGTCTCGCGGGCTGGCCTACCGTGGGGCTCGCAGGCGCCGTGGCCTCACTGAACGACTGTGTTGTTCAGGGCTCCCTGCCAGTGTGGTGCTGCCCTGGGCCATCGGGCGCCGCTACCTGGACGACGACTACTGCTGGACTGTCCACACCCACGACGCAGTGTACTACCTCGTCCGCATCCCCACCATCCTCACAGTCACCGTGAGTCCGGGGTTCGAATACCCGCACCCTGCCTTATCAAAACCTTGCAATCGATTTTTTAGCCTCGCAGACAAAAGAAGCTTGCCACACACTAAATGCTTATGGACTTAATGTCCATAACTATGGCCGTTTTTGTGCATACTGAAGTTTGTGTGCAAAATACTGAAGCATACTTCTCTTAGTAAAACTCAAAAAAAAGTTTTTACGGTTTCCGAAGTGCATTATTTGTGGAAGCCGTGAAGTGTAGGAGTTCTTCTTCACAGTTGGAGAATGCTTGCGTTGTGGAGTGTTCTACTCTGAACGCATCGCTCTGGTGTTGCAGATCAGCTTCGCCCTGTTTGTCAACATAGCCAGGGTGCTGCTCGTCAAGATGCAGTCCTCGGTGCAGGTGCAGCGACGCAGCTACCGCTACAAGTAAGCCCACTGTAAGAAAAAGCTCCGTGGGCACTGTTAGTTCAAGGCCCGGTGACCGGTTGGGGTGGTCAAAAAGCCCAGGCGGGTTTTGAGCTCCAGAGTCGCTTTTCTTGAGCTCGGCATTCGTTTCCAACGTGTATGCTCACCAATGAATTGCTCTCCGACCGAACGAGGGACGCCGGGGACTAGCTTTCAAAACAACACTCTTCGCTGAAGTATTGTTTTTCTTTTGGTCCAGGCTGGAATTATTTAAAACAACACGAGCGACATAAAAAAGTAAAACCTTCCGCCATACACACTTTCCCCGAAAAGGACGCGCGACCAATAAACTCCGAGTGGTCGCTCAGTCCGAACTCGGCGTGTCGCCAGGTGCGCCAGGGTGGCACGGTCGGCGGCATGATTCCGAGCCTCGGTTTGGTCGCTGTCCGTCGCGCACCCACACGACTCTCGGAATCAGTTTGCAGGGCAGCACAACTCGGCGATTCTCCGTTCCACCTGAATGGCCTTCACCTTCGCGGTCCAGTTCACGCCGACACCCCCACTTCACTACACGCCCTCCAACGCCCCCGCCTCGCTCACTGTTACACTACTTTGCAAAGAAAGATGCTCAAATGACGACTCCCAGAAATTCAGTTTAAAGAACATCCCATAGTTACTCATGAGTTCTCGTCGCATTTCTCAGACTAGTAGGACTATAGGAATTCCTAGAAATACCTTGTAAAATGCGACTTCGATTTTTGAGAAATGCACTGCAGCATGTTAATTATTCGGGACGACGGGTGACACTTCCACTAACCCTTTCCAGTGTGGCCCTCGGGTACATTTCCCTCCCCTGCTTTCCGGGTGGAATCTAATTTCGGCAGCGTTTTTACCAGCGGAGGCCCCGAGCCGCGACCGAGGCAGCGAGGCATGGCGCCACATGTGTCGACTGAATACGACCTAATCAGCAGCAAAACAGGTCGCATATTGCTGCCTGCAGCGCCACACTGAGAGTCTCGCTCTGTCTCCCTCGCACTTGTACGGAACGCTCCGTGAGTGCGAGAGAGACAGAGTCATGGAAACGGCTCTCAGTGTGCTGCCTTCCCTGCTCGCAGCCACCTCCTGCACTTTCATCACATTTCTCTCTCGCACTCGGAGGACCCCATCCCTTTCTTTGTTCCCCGTGAAAGAAAAATCCAATCAAAAAGGTGGCTGTAGACGGGTCGGGCACTCAGGCCTGCAAGGTGCATTTTGATTTTACTTGTATTAAAAGGGGACAGTGAAAAAGCTTCGATTGCTGGACCTGCATAGGTTGCTTCCGCAAAAAAAAAGTTTTTTACCAACCAAATTTTAATTATTGTTTATTTTTGGTTGGAAATTGGCTTACCGTGGGTCGAATACAAGAGGGAAATTTTCAGTTCGATGAAATTCGTGAAGGGGACGAGATTCCAAAATAAACGTAAGTGATTGACTTTTGTTGTGTTTTTGAAATGCCTCTTCCTCTTCTTGAATCGCTTTTGACGGTGGCCCGGCATGTGGCCGGGCCGCGTCTGCCCGGTGACGTGAAAGGGGATCCCCTCGCTCTCCGCAGGGCCCTGGGAGTTTGATTCCGAGAGCCGGTTGCGACGCTCTGTCTCTCTCGCGTCCATAGGGAGCCTCCCTGAGTGGGAGAAAGACAGAGAGTGGCGAAAACGACTCTCGGAATCAGTCTACTGGGAGGCTTAACAACAATTATTGGTCGCGCCGCCCCTGGCCCTTGCCGCCCCAGCACACTACAAGTACACTGCAAGCGCCCCGCCAGTATTGGGAGGAATTTAATTGTTTCCCCGTTGGGCCGCGCCTCTCTGTGGTTGACATTCAAGTCCCCTCCCGTCCCTTCTTTCCCCCCTCTCCCCCCTCTCCCCCCTCTCCCCACCCCCTTTCTCTCACAAGCCAGACAACAAACCTCCCCCTACTTGGTGAAATGAGGAAGCAGTCCCGAGCTCCGTATCGCGATGTGCTGCCAACACCACCGCCTCGAGGCATGGGAGACAAACCCCGTTGTAAGGGGCTGGTGGGACTTGCTCGCTAGGTGCAGATTGCACTTCGAAGGATTAAAAGCCTTGAGTTTTATTTTAAAAAGGAAAGCTCTAAAATCTTTACTTTTTCGTAAATAAAAGCTTTCGAAGACTGGTCAATGTTTTCCTGGATTTGAGCTACTACAACAACGGTTCTTTTCTTTACAAGACGTCCCTCTGTTGTTTCTCGTTCGTTTTCTTCTTTATTTTATGTATTTTTATTACGCTGTTTCCTCTGCTGCCCGGATGGGAGGAAGTGTGCCCAGCGGTAAAAACAAAGTCCGTAAATTTTCACGTCTTTCCCAGTTAAGCCACCTTTAGTGAGAAATGATTGGTTCCTTCCCTCCCCTCTGCCCCAACTGTCGCCCCACCCCCTGCTCTCCCTTGTAGGCGTCTTCCTGAACGAATCTGACGAAAAACCGAGGGAGGGCTCTCGGGCCTTTCGCCACAGCGCCGCAACAGTGGACTTCCCCGCTGACACAATTCCCAGGGTCGTAACCCCGCCGGCAAGGGCGCGCTTACTGCCGGGTTTACTTTTGTTTTCTTGGCACCGCCGGCGGAAAAATGTCGGGGATTTGCGACGTATTTGCATTTCATTCCGCGCCTGCCTGGCGACACTGTAAAAGGTTGTTGTCACTTGATGGAAAAACCGTAGACGATATTTTCTTCATTTTTAGAATGACGACAGTTTCGTCACAGTTGCTCCTGTGCTTATCGCATGGGCGTGATAACAATTTAATCAGCAAGTTTTATAGTTTTCTTGTAAGGAAAAGTATCCTGGTAAATGTCCTAAAGTGACAACCATAATTTTTTCACTAGACAATCGGAAGGGGAATCATCGTCAATAAACTTTGTAAACCAATAATTAGCCACGAAATTCTTAAATTTTAGTCAAATTTCTTCAAAAGTCGTGAAATTTAGTCCTATATAAGTAAAGTTCTGAACATATCAGCGAAGTTTATAGGAAAATATTTGGAAATTTGTCTGCAGTTCATTGAAATTCATTCGAAATCCATGTGGAAATTTTAAACGTGTACACTGTAATTGAAAGGCATTTTCCCCTCGCGCAGGCGCTGGGCGCGGTCCACCATGGTGCTGGTGCCGCTGTTCGGTACGCAGTACGCGCTGTCGCTCGTCTTCTCGGCCAGCATCAAGCAGCACGGTGCGCTCGAGGTGGTGTGGATCATGCTGGACCAGACATTCGCCTCTTTCCAGGTCAGTCTCTTGGAACGCACTCACTGGTAAATCGCGTCACAAATTTTGACAACGGAGTCGTGTATAGTCCATTTTCCGCTAAAATTTAGACCGTGGGACCAGTTAAGATTTAAACTCAATTTGGTTACTTACCTCCCATCTTGACTCGTCAGCCAAGATACGCCCTTTTCGCCCCTTCCTGGGTCCAATGACTGAATGGGTGCGAGCCCCCCAGGGCCCTGGGGAAATTAGAGCCGCGAACTCCTCCTTCTTTGCCCAGCCTCGCTGCGGACGCCCGTTTCGCCCGTTTGCGGCGGGCAAACTCGTCAAGTCGCTGTGAGAGCCGCATCGATCCTAGCCAGACAGCCTTTCTTCTAAATCACAGGGCTGCGTGGCTGGCTATATGATTTCACGGAGTGCTTTGTCGCCCTTTCTCCCTCGCTTTGCCCGGGGAGCCCCACGAGTCCGTGAGAGAGAAGGCGACGTTGTTTCCGTTCGGATTGAGCCTGCCGGCCAGTCTGCGCCACCTGTTGCTAGTGTCGCGTGCTCCCCCCCCCCCCCCCCCCAATCCCTGCGAACTTCTGTTCTTTGCCAGCTTCAAAAGTGAGTGCTTTGTGTTGCTGCCGCAGGGCTGCCTGGTGGCCCTGCTCTACTGCCTGCTCACCAAGGAGGTCCGGGTGGAGGTGCGTCGCCGCTGGCAGCGAGGCTTCATGTGGGGCGACCGCCACCACGGGTCCTCGCGGCGCCCGGGGTCGCTGCTGCAGTCCGCACCCTCGCTGTCCAGACCCGGGCAGCAGTCGGGGCCGCCCTACCACCGGCCCAGCGACCTGCCGTGCCAGGTAAGCCCGTTCAAGAGGGTCTGTCTACAACGGCTCCGTCAAGCATGAGCCTTGAGATGTGTGGCACTGAGGTTGATGGGCTCAAGGGGAAATAACTACAGCCAAATTTGCACGGAACAACCTATTTTCAATGGGTTTCCCATGTGACTTACGTTCTTATGCCCAACGACCGCTGACATGTTCCGTACTTTTTCCGTACTTTTTTCTCACAGTGTACCCTCGTGAACGCGTCTTCCTGTCCGCAGATCTCGGGGCGCCTGGAGCTGAACCGCCTGCCCGACGACGTGATCGACGACGCCCTCATCGACGTGGTGCTGGACGACAAGGCCAAGAGCAGGGACGTGGAGGTGGAGGTGCAGTCCATGGCCTCCATGGGGCTGGCCGGGCTCACCGTTGCGTCCAGGACCAAGGCGGGCGACGCGCAGAGCTGGGTGTGAATACCCCGCGCCGCCAGCGCCGCCGGCGCGTGGAGTATCTGCAGCGCGAGGAGTGCCGCCTTCCCTGCTGGCGTGGGGTATCGCCGGCCCGCGTCGCACTCCGAGCGCCTCACGCAGCGCCAGAAGGGTGTCAACAGAGGCGGATCCAGCGACGGCCCGAGGGGGGTCAAAGTAGCACTTCTTGCAGGGGCTAAGTGTTGCTTTTTTCCCTACCTTTCAGGCGACAATCTAGCGTTCAAGGGAGGGGCAATTGTCCTTTTGTCCCCTTCCCTTGCTGCATCCGCGCTTGGTGCCCAAGTGCTGAGTCTTCCTGTGTGTAAAGGAATTGGTCCTGGTGAAATTGAACTGGTCACTTTTCTGTGTAAAGACTAAAAGAGTAAGAAAGGTTTTTAGAGTGAAAATCCTCTATTCCAGGCAATCGGAACACTCAGTGCGACAATGCAAAGCTCTCTTCCTGTAGAGATTGTTTGCGTGTTATTAGATATTCGATTCATTTCTGCGAGGAAGGACGCGTATGCTGTCGTGGCCTCCTCTAAAACAAGCTCTCAGTTTCAAGTTCGTTCATTTTTTTGTGTGTGTGTGTTAGGAGGGTGGACGTCGTCGCAGAAGAAGGCAAGAGCCTTTCATTGAACGTTTCCTACGTGAATGCCTTCACCCCAGTGGTTATCCTAGTGTAACGCCGTCGTTCGGGCGCAAGTTCCGAGTCCCTGGAAGGCGGGACACAGATCTCACAGTTATGACTGACTTTAGAGTGTGGTGATTTCCGTGTTATATGTATTCTCTACCCAATATTGTTATGATGTTAAATTATTTATGGTGTGTGCGTTTCTTTAAAGTAATACTCTCTCATGTGAGATTTCGCGGGGAGGCCGTTCTCAGGGACCCTCTTCTCTTCTTTATAGATGTGTGCCTGATTGATGTTCCATGTTTGTCTGCGTGCACTGTAAAAATTTGTTGTCACTTTATGGCAAATTTTCGTGGATGACATTTTCATCACATGTAAACGATGACAGTGTCATTACTTTACTTATTGCATGGGTGTGACAACTATGTTAGCTAATGGTTTGATGATAGATAGCCTCGTCAGGAAAATTTTCCTTTAAATGGTCATCAAGTGACAACTAAAATTTTCACAGTTAGTATCGCAATTTATCGCACCCAGCTATTTCTGGGTCCATTTTATTTTTTTCCTCTGTTTTTACCTTTTGACAACCCTCTATCTATAACTCTGAATCATGTTTTAAAAAGAGGTCTAATTGCTAGCAGATGATATGCGTATTTTTGTATTTGATCACGACAACTGAAGATTGCCATTCCTGACCTATTTGTTCATTGTCATAGTTCATTTCGTGTTTCCCGTTCGATGTGGTGTTGTACTTGCGTCGCTCAATACAGTATTTCATCGTTTTCCCCCCTCTTCATTTTTTTTTTCGAATTCCTATACATACCACACACTAATTGCTCACACAGGGTTTTTAAGTTTTTTAAAGTATTTATTGGGGTTTTTTTGTTACAATTAAGAGAGAGAGGCATCAAGGAGCCCAGCCGAGTCTGGTGTAAGAAAAGAGCCATTCACCAAATCTGGTGTCTCCTTGAGCGCCTGCCGTGTGCAGAAATCTTGTGTGCCCGAATCTAAAGCGGCTGTCCCTTCAGTCTGCCACGGGATGGTCACGGTTGCCAACGGGGCGAATGCGTTCCAGTGTGCGTGTCTACGTGTGAGACGTAAAAAATACGATTTCAAGGAATCCTAGGAGTCACGAAGTCAATTTGATTATTGTGAAAGAGTGTGGAGAAAGAAAAGAAGTGGTGTTGTGTAGTTGTGGCTCAGGCGACTACCAATGGCAGTGGTACCAATGTGGTCGATGTGCCACCCGTCGAAATTTAAACTTGACAAAATAGAAATCAAAATGCTGGTAAATTCAAAAAATTCCAATGCTCATGTATTCCGCAGTGTTCTGACAATGGAACATCTTTAAGTCCATCATTATTAAAATGTTCTTTGCAGAAAGAAGGCAGTAAATTAATTTTCACGGGTTGGCAACTAGTTTCTCGGCGTCTGCGCCCTTGCGAAAATCGCGAAGCTGAAAGCACCAGCAGTCGCGCATTAAAACTGCCCATCCATTGTTGCTGACGTTGAATTGTTTGGCTTGTTTCAAAAGTCTATGGTTCTCTAGTCATGTTTTCTTCAATTCTGTGTAATAGTTCTCCCTTACAACGTATCAACACCACGACGGTTGGTTTGACAAACTTCATAAACTCGGGAGGGATGGTTTCGAAACGCGGGTGAGTCTTGTTCGAGGAACATGGGCACTGCAAGTCGCGAGGTGGAGCGAAGTGGTCCTAGTGCTAACTGAATCACAACAACAACAAAATTGTTTTATTGACAGAAAAAAAAGGAATATTTGAGAAACTGTATGTCAGAAAAAAAGAACTTTTGTTTTGCTAATTTTCTGTGAATATTTTTTTAGAAAGTCATCACACAAAAATTGAAAATTTGTTTAATATGAATTTTCATGAGCAGGAAACAAAGAAAAAACAAGAAAGAGAGCAAAATTAATACAGATTTCAAATGCTACAGTTGGTGAAACTGTTAACAGGTTGCAAACCTACTGCGCATGTCCAAAAACACTCCAATCAAGAAGTATTATTGGATAGTTCTACCCGAAAAACTGCGTTCGAACCGACACCAATTCTATTGTTGCATCTTGTCTACCTGCAGTCAAAGAAATTTTTCATTTCGAACGTGCTGATTTCAGCTTTTGGAGTAAGCTGTACAGACCCAAAAAGAAGCTATTGGTCCGCCCCGGCTCGGCTCCCCCCACTCCCTTTTTTTTCCTTTGACGAGTCGAGTTTTGCCATGGAAACGGCGATTTTGACAGCAAATTTCTCAAAATTGGCCACCAACTTTTTAACCAGATTTCAGCATGAGAATCAGCGTTCAAAGTTCTACAAGTCTGCAAAGTCTCATTAAAATCGTATAGAAAATTTCCGAAATGCATAAAGGGCCACACAAATTGAATCTCGGGCCGGCTGAATCCTGGGTATACTATAAGGCTACTTCGTGCCTAAAAAGAAAAAGGGGAGGGGCAATAAGCTGGCGTGTGTGACGCACGGAGGTGTGCGTCGAGCACATGGGCCTGTCCCGCCCGGAGCGCAGCGCAGCGGTGCTTTCTTCCAGACGGCCTGGAGACAGAATTCGAAAGTCCCGCCTTCGTCGCTCTGCCTCTCTCGCGCCCAAACGGGGGCACTCGCGAGTGCGAGAGTGCCAGAGCGATCAGAGCGTCTCTCGGAATCCGTCTGCTGACAGCGAGAAGCGTATAAAGACAGCCGAAAAACATGACCGGAACCGCATTTGGAAGGCAGTAATGAGGCGAGCCGCGGATGCACGCGTGCAGCACAGTCTCGCTCTGTCTCTCTCGCACTCGCGGGGCGACCCGTGTAGGTGCGAGAGAGACAGAGCGACGGACGAGAACAGCTCTCGAAATGAGTCTTCCCGGACGGGACGTGCGTCACTCGTATAATTACCGACGCTGAAAAATCGGCAAATCGGAATTAAGATAAACCGGAATAAACGGCGAATCAAGATCGGCGGCTCTACGAACAAGCGAAGGGAATGACCTCCGGAAACGAAAGGCGGTTTACGAGTGTGGCCGATTTTCTCTCGGTGGTGAGTTACCTCTCCGCGTTTCCCATTCGCCACCGCCGTGACGCAGAATGAGACTCTCGTCGCAGCGCGCCGTCGCTCGGTCTGTCTCGCACCCTTTCGCCCCGCGAGTGAGAGAGACGGAGCGACGACGGCACAGCTGTTTGCTGGAGCTCCGGTTGACGTCACGCCGCGGAGCCCGGCGATACTCGCTGCGCTGTGCCGGGGTAGCGCCGCGCGGTCCGTGGCGGTTCAAACTGTAGACGCGTTTAGAGTTTTGGCCGCCGGTGCGGCGTGTAAGTGTACCCCCCCCCCCCCCCCCCCCCCCGGCCCAGAGTACCCCCGGGTACACAACGCCCAGGGCCAAAGTACCCTGGGGTACATGACGACTAGGTTCAATGTACCCAGGGGTACAGTGCGCCTAGGTGCCAGGCGAATTGTACCCCGGGTACAATGCGGCTAGGCGAAATGTACCCCGGGGTACATTTTGCCGAGGCTTATTGTATCCCCCGCCGGCCGGAGGAGGATGCACGTCGCCTAGGCGCAATGCATCCCCCCGGATGCAAAGAACCTAGGCGAGGGGTATCCCCTCGGCCGGCCGGAGGGGGATACAAAAAGCCTAGGCGCAATGCATCCCCCCCCCCCGGGATACAAATATCGAAAAAAAAAGAAGAAAAAAGGGGGGCCCTTCTCCCACCTCCGCACACAGGTCGGAGGGCCGCCTGCAACTTCGGTGGATCGGGGGAACCGGTGCTTTACAGGCGGCGACCCCAGGGGTTCTCATCTGTATATGGGCCGGGCTTGAAGGGCGGGTTTGACAGTCTCTCTCTGCCTTGAGAGCCTTTGCTTTTCGCGGGGTGGTCTGTACCAAGTGTACACCCGCTGTCCGGCGCTCTCTACCAAACATACAGCTTGTTTAAGGGCCAGCTTCAAAGGACTTATCATCTCCTCCCGACGAATCAGGAGGACCCACCCGCGACCAATTACGGGTGGCTGGATTGACGGATCAAATACTCCGTCACTCCAGTGCCGAGGCCAACCCGCCGAAGCGCAGTTGCTTTTTAGACACCCCAGCGGAGTGGCCAGGTGAATGTGACTCTGACCACTACGCTATCAAGCTTGTACGTCTGGCGTCGTGTTGGACGACGGGTTTGAGTTGCAGTGGAAGGAAGCCAGTCGAAAAATGTAATGAAATGATGGGAGTCGATCCCGGGACCCTACTGCCGGGACCGCACGACTTTTGCCGCTCGGCCACCACGGCCCATGACGAATGGCGCGGCGTGAGGCGGGCTCTTGACGCGACCGCACTGTGCAAATGTTACAGACGTTCGATCGCATTTGCACAGTGCGGTGTTCGAATACCGGCATCTCAATTTTTTTTTCGATTTCCTTTCTTTTGTGGAACGGTTCGGGGCCATCAGAGCGGAGCCGTGTAGAACAGTCCCACACGTCGGGGGTTCGATTCCTAACAAACATTAACATTTAATTTTACTGCCTCGCCCAGTGTGGTTGAAAACCGTGACTTCAGCCAACGAACTGCACGTGCCGTGGTGGTCTAGGGAGTAGAGGCGTCGCTTCTCCGTGCTGAGGTCGGCGGTTCGACTCCCCAAACTTCTTGTTAAATTTTGACCGGGTCGGTCCATTCCTGTCGCGTCAAGAGCCCGCCTCACGCCGCTCCATTCGTCATGGGCCGTGGTGGCCGAGCGGCAAAAGTCGTGCGGTCCCGGCAGTAGGGTCCTGGGATCGACTCCCATCATTTCATTACATTTTTCGACTGGCTTCCGTCCACTGCAACTCAAACCCGTCGTCCAACACGACGCCAGACGTACAAGCTTGATAGCGTAGTGGTCAGAGTCACATTCACCTGGCCACTCCGCTGGGGTGTCTAAAAAGCAACTGCGCTTCGGCGGGTTGGCCTCGGCACTGGAGTGACGGAGTATTTGATCCGTCAATCCAGCCACCCGTAATTGGTCGCGGGTGGGTCCTCCTGATTCGTCGGGAGGAGATGATAAGTCCTTTGAAGCTGGCCCTTAAACAAGCTGTATGTTTGGTAGAGAGCGCCGGACAGCGGGTGTACACTTGGTACAGACCACCCCGCGAAAAGCAAAGGCTCTCAAGGCAGAGAGAGACTGTCAAACCCGCCCTTCAAGCCCGGCCCATATACAGATGAGAACCCCTGGGGTCGCCGCCTGTAAAGCACCGGTTCCCCCGATCCACCGAAGTTGCAGGCGGCCCTCCGACCTGTGTGCGGAGGTGGGAGAAGGGCCCCCCTTTTTTCTTCTTTTTTTTTCGATATTTGTATCCCGGGGGGGGGGGATGCATTGCGCCTAGGCTTTTTGTATCCCCCTCCGGCCGGCCGAGGGGATACCCCTCGCCTAGGTTCTTTGCATCCGGGGGGATGCATTGCGCCTAGGCGACGTGCATCCTCCTCCGGCCGGCGGGGGATGCAATAAGCCTCGGCAAAATGTACCCCGGGGTACATTTCGCCTAGCCGCATTGTACCCGGGGTACAATTCGCCTGGCACCTAGGCGCACTGTACCCCTGGGTACATTGAACCTAGTCGTCATGTACCCCAGGGTACTTTGGCCCTGGGCGTTGTGTACCCGGGGGTAGTCTGCGCCGATGGGTACAGTTCACTCTTAAAACCTTACAAAGTATTTTGAGCATACATATAACAAACTAAAATACTTTGTTATACAAAGAAATAGTTCGTAAATTACGAAGTATTTTCTTTGTAAGCTTACGTATGCTCAAAATACTTTGTTATACAAACTACTTTTCTTTGTAAGGCCCAAAATAGTTTGTAAGGTTTTCTCAGTGTTCGCCTCCTACACCGGCGCCGGTTTTCTGCGGCCCACTATGTGCGCCGACTTTGACGTCACTGCCGCGGTGCATTTCCGCCGAAAGTGACCGCCGGGGGGCGCCACGGCTGCAACGCGCTAATTTCCGGTGTGCCTCGCGTCGCTCGCGTCCACCGAGACTTGACCCACTTCCCGCCCCGCCCTCGCCTTGCGACTGGATGAGAATAAATTGCATTCCGAAGGGAAGGGCTCGAAGGTTGCACTTCGGTTGCGCCACGCCTCGCCGCCATCGCTCTGTCTCTCTCGCACTCGTGGCGCTGGGGTGCGAGAGAGACAGAGCGAACGCCGCGGTGTCAATGGAGTTCGGGTCACAAAAACTTGTTGTTGTTGCTGCTGTTGTTTTCATAGTGTAGGAGGGCCTCACGGGCAATAATAATATCCCATTAAATAACGCGCGGCGCTCCGCTCCGCTGCAGGCGGCCGTCGACGCGTTTTTCCTAATTATTTTCTGAACGGACACTCTTTTCGAAGAAAGATTGCCAGTGTGTGGCTACTTTGTCCCAAAGCCCAGAGCAGCGGAATTTAACGGGCCGCGGCACCGTGCGGCAGCGGAGCGGCAGCGGAGCGCGACAGGCAAGACTCTCATAGCGCGGCACTGCAGCAGACTCAGTCGCTCTCGTCACTCCGTCCCTCTCGCCCCCATGCGGGACGCCCTGTGAGTGCGAGAGAGACGGAGCGACGAAAAAGACTCTCGGAATGGGTCTGCTGCCGTGTTTCTGTTCGTTAGCGGAGTAATGTGGAAACTTAAGTCGCTCATTAGAGAGGAGGCTCCATCCACACTTGCACGGCTCGCCGGGTACCTAGTCGTACTCACGCACCGGAGACGGTACGGCAAGGCGGGGCGGGGTGGGGCGGGGCGGGGTGGGGCGGGTAATCCGCGGAACAGGATTGCCGCGCCAAGCACACCGGGGCGCCTCGCCTTTCGCCAGAACCAGCGAATCTCACCTTAGAATGGAGTGACCCTGAGGACGGGGCGCGGGCGGCGCGGGCCTGGGGGTTGTGTCTGGGCCCTGAAAGGTCACCACCACCCGTCTCGTCTGGCCCAGGCCGCCCAGGGCCCCGGCCCCGCACTGAAAATTGAATGGCAAGACTGATGGCCAAAATTTGGTGAGACAAAAAAGTCTCGCCATTTTTTGGCGAGAAACAAAAGTCTCGCCATTTTTTTGGCGAGAAACTAAAGTCTCGCCATTTTTTGGCGAGAAACAAATGTCTCGCCAAAATATGGCAATAATTGCAACCCCACTCTATTTGATACTGGGAAATATATCCCAATCAAGATCACTCTGGTAAACACATCACTAACTACAGTCTTTCAATTACTCAAGTTGAAAATAATACAGGAAGCTATCACTTTCAGATATGAAAATATTAATGTTAGGTTATATGATGTGAATTTGGTTTGCGTCAGCAAAGCGTTGCCCAACTATTTACTTTTTTTTGTCATCGTTTAAAAAGACATTGGTCCAGTGGGAGGTCTCTTTCAGTGTCCATGTAGTTAGAGATAATGTCTTTAATAAGAGGCCTAAACAAAGCGACATCCATGATGACACAAGTTCTTACTCTCTCCTTTGACTTATTCCAATCCCCAGCTTAACCTTGCTGCACTTGGGCATTGTTGGAGGTTCCATGGACAGAACTCGGTTAATAAACTCGAGTTAAGAAAGTTCTGTGCACTATCTAGCACTCTCCGTTTCGCCGTCTCCACTGGACAAAATGCCAAAGTACAGCAGCAGCACTTTAAATCGCCAACACAGATATAATAAAGAAAACATTTTAGTGTACAGACAAGCAACACAGCAACAGGACCAAACAGGACTGCCATGTTGTGTCGTCTGCTACAGTAGCATTTGTTTTGCGGTAGTGCCAACCTATACATTTTTTTCGTTACTTGTAAAATTACTTTTGGAAGGCAGTGCAGGTTGGCACTACCGCAAAACAAATGCTACTGTAGCAGACGACACAACATGGCAGTCCTGTTTGGTCCTGTTGCTGTGTTGCTTGTCTGTACACTAAAATGTTTTCTTTATTATATCTGTGTTGGCGATTTAAAGTGCTGCTGCTGTACTTTGGCATTTTGTCCAGTGGAGACGGCGAAACGGAGAGTGCTAGATAGTGCACAGAACTTTCTTAACTCGAGTTTATTAAGGGGAGGTTCTACTGAAAATATTGCATTTTTCAAATTGAGACCCAGTGTAAAAATTTGTTGCAGATGTATAGTAATACATAGTTAATGGTCAAACATGAAATTCAGAGCCCAATACCTCCCTCCAAATCCAGTCGAAGAGGTTTTTTCAGCCTGTTGTAGCAATATCTTAAAAAATTCTCCTACGCAAAGCATTTCAACGTAAACTGATGTTCTCGACATTTTTCACTTCTTTGGCTCATATGCAATAAAGCATGGCATCACCAAGACATGGGACCCAACAAATTTATTTTGTCGCTGCTTTTCAGAAAAAAAGTCACTAAAATATCAGAAATTTTAACATTTTCTTGAAATTTTATTGACATGCTGTCTTAAAAACACAGCTTACGGTTTTGTAATGGTCCCAGTATCTTACTAATGCCACGGTTTATCAATTATGAACCAAAGAAGTGAAAAATGCCCAGAACATCAGTTTACGTTGAAATACTTTGCGTAGGAGAGTTTTTCAAGTTACGACTGGAAATAGCAGAAAATTCCTCTTCGACTGGGTTGGGGGCTAGGTATTGCTCTCCAAACTTCAAATTTAACTATTTACTATGAAATACTTTAAATTTACAATGAATATTGATAATGGGACTCAATTTGAAGAAAGTAAGATTTTCAGTAGAACCTCCCCTTAACCGAGTTCTGTCCGTCCATGGAACCTCCAACAATGCCCAAGTGCAGCAAGGTTAGCTGGGGATTGGAATAAGTCAAAGGAGTGAGTAAGAACTTGTGTCATCATGGATGTCGCTTTGTTTAGGCCTCTTATTAAAGACATTATCTTTAACTACATGGACACTGAAAGAGACCTTTTAGGATCTGACTCACTGGACCAATGTCTTTTTAAACGATTACAAAAAAAGTAAATAGTTGGGCAACGCTTTGCTGACGCAAACCAAATTCACATAATATAACCTTACATTAATATTTTAATAACTGAAAGTGATAGCTTCCTGTATTATTTTCAACTTGAGTAATTGAAAGACTGTAGTTAGTGATGTGTTTACCGGAGTGATCTTGACTGGGATATATTTCCCAGTATCAAATAGAGTGGGGTTGCAATTATTGCCATATTTTGGCGAGACATTTGTTTCTCGCCAAAAAATGGCGAGACTTTAGTTTCTCGCCAAAAAAATGGTGAGACTTTTGTTTCTCGCCAAAAATTGGCGAGACTTTTTTTCTTTCCCCTAGGTTGGAATGAATTCTGACCTTTGACTTTTCAGTGCGGCTGGGTCATTTCAAAGCTTGGTCTCTGCCTCTTTCATACTCCTGGCGGGGCAACCCACGAGAAAAGGAGAGACACGGAGGACATGAAATCAGCCTGTGCAGAACATCGTGGCCCATGACTTCTTGAATCTGGCAGTAAGGATTGTCATTGATCCGCTATGGCACTCAGGATCATTGTATACGGAGGCGTCAAAATGCCGTCATGAGGCCGCCCCCTCACTCTCAAAATCTTACAAACTATTTTAAGCCTTTCAAACAAAGGTAGTTTGCCGTATAGAACGATTTTGAGCAAACAGAAGCTTGTAATTTAAATTTTTCGGAATTAAAAAAACTAATTCTTTGTGCATTACATTTGCTCGGAACTTTGTGAGATATCGACCATGCTCGCAACGACCCTGTTCAACATGAGCAGCGAAGCTGTCTCAATATCAGGGGGTATCGAATGGTATACGGTGTTTACGACTTTGCTCAATCATGATTGTATGGATTGATGCAATTGTCTGTGATTTTCAAGTTGGGGCAAAACGTCAATAAAAAAATTCTTTGTTTTCTTTGATTGTATTTATTTTTTACAAATATGAAAGTTTAGCACTGAAACACAAAGTAACGGTTTTTTTACAAGTGATAACGTTGTATGAAGTTAAGGCGCGACACCGAAGGCTCTATTCGCAGAATATAACAAAATAATATAAAAACCAAATGATAAAATTTGTTCATGGGTTAAAACAGGAAGATTTGTAACAACGCCAATATTTATTTCTCCCATAGAATCGCACAATTATTCAGCGTCATTGTGCCAAAGCTGTCATTTATTTTGCTTTGAGGTGTTGTTTGCGACAGTGGGTTCGCAAATTGTCACTGCGAGCAAACCTCTTGCTGCAGACGGTACACTCATAGGGCTTCTCTCCAGTGTGTACGCGCATGTGGGTCTGTAGATTGATAGCGCGTGCAAACTTCTGGTTGCAGACTTCACACTCGAACGGCTTTTCTCCTGTATGAGTTGGAAGGTGCTGTCTCAGAGAACAGCTTTGGGCGAACGTTTTATCGCAAAAGGAACACGTGAGGCGCTTTTTCTCTGAAGTGGTCCAGACGTGGGCCTCCAGGTCACCCAAGCCCCTGACCCCTTTGACTAAGCGCTCATGTGGCTTTGTGTGGCTACGCATGTGTTCCTGCAGAGTGCTTCTCTGTGCAAACTTCTTGTTGCAGAAATCACACATGAATGAATCTTCTCCTGTATGACTTTGAAGGTGTTCTTGAAGGCCACTACTTTGGGCGAACGTTTGCTGGCAAAGAGCGCATTCGAAAGGCTTATCCTCCGGATTGCCTTCAGAATTTTTTGTGATTGGATCTTTTGAATTAAAGTCCTTGACTTCCTTTGAATGGCATAGCACGTGCTTCAGGAGGGACGCTAAACTCGTAAACTGTTTCTCGCAAACTGCACACTTCAAGCTTTTCTCGCGAACATGGACGAGGAGGTGGTTTCTGAAGTCGGTACAGGTCGGATATGTTTCATTACAGACACCACACTTTAAGCAGGTTTCACCTGTGTGAGGACGAATAGCATGTGCTTTTAAATCATCCCTATTGACAAAATTCTCCTCGCAAATTTCACACTTAAGTAATTCCTCTCCTAAATGGCTCTTGACATGTCTTCTCAGGCAGTAACTCGTTCTATACTTCTTGCCGCAGACTGTACAACCAAAGCGCGCTTCCACGTGTGTCCACACATGCTTTACGAGCTGTTGTTCTGAACCGAACTTTTTGTCGCAAACTGTGCATTGGAAAGGTTTCTCCCCTGTGTGTACCCGACTGTGATTTTGCAGGCAATACTTAGTTAGAAACCTCTTCTTACAGACCGTACACTCAAAGGGTCTCTCCTCCCCTGTGTGGATGCGAATGTGTTTGCGTAGGTTGTTGCAACCTGCAAACTTCCTGTTACATACTGCACACTCGAATGGCTTTTCTCCTGTGTGAGTTCGCAGGTGCCTTCTAAGGCAGTTAGCTTGAGCGAACGTTTTGTTGCAAACTGTACACTTATAAGGCTTTTCCTCTGCATGGGTCCACATGTGAGATTGCAGGGTGCCTGAATCTCTGAACTTCATACCACAAACGGTGCACGCATAAGGCCGTTCCCCTGTGTGCGTTCGGAGATGAACCCTTAACGCCGATGCCGATGCCAGCTCTTTTTTACAAACTGTGCAAATTATGTCACTCATGATGCACTGCGAAAGTCGGCAGAAGTTCCTGCAATACACACAGATAAATCAATCAGTTTTCGAAAAATCTAAAGGACACAAGATTCGGAACGATTCCTGGGGTGAAAGCTTCGATTCCTGGGGTGAAAGCTTTGTTGACAAAACAGGCATGAACAGTTTTTTTTTCTGCTCTCTTTTTCAGGGTTCATCGAATGTGAATTCATCGCTTCCAGGAATGTCTACTACTTTGACGAACAACTAAAACCATCAATAAACAAACAAGCTATGTCATCAATCGGTTCAATCCACGAACGTATTTGAAAACAGAATAGAGTTTCACGGCTTATACACTTTGTTATGTGGCATTTTGGTCCCATAAGGTAGGTGTTACAATTATGTTACCGGTACCAGCCGGTGTTACAATTGTGTTACCGGTACCAGCCGGTCGTATGTTCTAAGAATTGCTTAGCTCATCGGGAAAACAATGCGAAAATTCAGAATTCACCTGCGAGGTCCAGGTCTTGAATTAAGAATATAAGATCCCTTTACATGGCTGTTCTAGAAACAAAGTTCTATCCACTAGCGATTAAACTTGCGCACACTTGCCTTTGGTTTCGCAGAGGCACCCTGAAGACTTGACTGTTACAAAACTTCGGAATAGTGAGACGGTGCTTGTATATTCTGTAAGACAGAACGTACACGGCGTAAGCTAAGTGTGGAAGAGTTCAAGGACATCATATAAAAAATAAACAAGATTTACCGTGTTTTCGCTCGACCGCTCGGCTGCTTTAGAAAAACACACCTTTGCTTAAGTGAACCTGCGTCCTCTCCGTGTTTCCGCACGCACCACGGCACTGTTTTGTCCACTGTTCGCCCAACGTGGGCTAACCGACGCTCATCGGACAGTACGTTTGCGTTCTGCCAGTGCCCTGGGCCCACTGGGTCGCCCGACGCGCTGCAGCCCGACAGTGCAACAGTGCGCGTCGCACCGGTGCCGGGACGAGACTGAACCGTGCGTCCCGTCCGGCTCCACAGGCCCAGCCGACTGGTCACACTGGTTCACTGGGTGATAGAGAAGACTCGGGTGGGGTTAAACGCCTTTACCTGTTCGGGTGTGCACTGTTAAAATATACTAAGATGCAGGATGGAAGATGCTGCTGGCTTCTGCTGGCTACGCCTCCCCCGCCAGCATCATCATCATCGTCATCAACGCTGTTAGGCCTATGCAGACCTTTAGCGGTTCGAGTCAGCAAGGCACTCCGACCTCGCGCGGCGCAGCAACATTTCTTACCTGGCCCGTCCGGCCCCATTGACACGGATCCCAGAGCACCCCGGAGCCCCCACCCCCCGTTGCGCAGGTGGAGTGGAGAGCGACCCTCGCCTCCCAGTCCGAACAGAGGGCCGCCGAATTATAGTGGGCTTAACTGCAGCACAAATCGAAACTTAAAGTATCAAATTGTTTAAGAAGTTAATGAACGTTTTGAAATGACCGTAAAAATGTATGACCTACAGTGAAAACGGTGTTTCTACGACAATTTTGACCTATTGAACCTGTTTATTGCACTGGCAAAATAAAGACTCAAACCTCCATTCGGATTTTTCCTGTGGGTCCAAAACGGTCCGAACTGCATTGAGTTCATGGCAATACTAAATTTTGAAGTAATTTCGAGAGATTTTATAACGCTCATCATTAATGCAAGGTGACAAAAGGACTCGCCGGTCAGTCGCTCCCTGCACAGCTGTCAGGACCCTCTCCCACACTCAGGTAGTGATTCTGAAAATTTGATAGCGGGGGGTTTAAAATTTTTGACGTGGGTTGTGGGAAAGGCCAGACAGTCCCACACTTTTGACGAGAATCAAAATGGCGCAGGTTTACAAGAAGTGCGAACCACGTTTGTCCCACGCTTGCATAGCTGTGGAGACACAGATGTCTGACATTCGGAAGGGTGGGACACAGTTTGCCTTCTCGCGAGCGTGTGACGCGTGACATTCACTCGAAGAAATTTCCTATAATACGAAGGAAATGGCGCAAGCATAATAAGAAGGTGGTTTTTCTTCGTACACTATTACGAAGGTTTTTCTTTGCATCTTACAATGAAAAAGCTAAAAAGATTCGTCATACGAAAGAATATTTCTTCGTATTATGCTTGCGCGGAATCCACTGTAACATACGAATAACACAGGTCAAATTTCATTGTAAGACATTTAGAGCGTTGAACCACAGGGAGGCCGCAAGTCTGGGACAAACCGCGTCTCACACTTGCAAGCTAGGCTGTGAAATTGCAGCCCCTTGAAGTACCCGTTCAGTGCCTAAAGGCGAAGAATGTCCCGGGGAGGCTCCGTTCGCACTGCAGCGCGCCGCTCTTTACCCCAATTCATTTTTAATTAACTTTTAAGACGCGGCTTAAGCGGGGTGCGCTGCGGTTTGACTGCGCATGCGTCCCAGGGCGTAGCATCGTGCGGCTCACCTTGCTTGCTGCTCGTTGCATAGCTCTCTGTCGCTGCGTTCACTCTACAAAAAATGTCCTGTCAACGCCGTTAATTTAATACCAATATTTGCTGCTATGCAATTCACGGCGTTTGCTGTGAGCTAGTTCACGGCGTTCACTGTGATCTCGGTTACAGTGTTCACTGTGATCTGGCCACAGTAAACGCCGTGAATTGGAGCCTGATTTGCAGTACTTCGGTGCTCAGCGGCGTCAAACTCACAGTGTTTACTGGGGACCAGATCACAGTGAACACCGCGAACAAGATCACAGTGAATCCCGTGAGCAGATCACAGTAAACGCTGTGAATTGACCTACAGTGAAAACTGGTAATAAATTAACGGCATTTACAGGACATTTTTGGTAGAGTGTTCATTGTTGTCGCAGGGGGTAACCCTACCCACTCGGGCCCGAAACGTATTTTTTGGAAAATAAACTTAAAAATTCTGTCGAGGTGCATGACTGCAGCAGATTCCTGATGCTCCGTAATGTAATCGTCCGTTTGATTGTTCTGCCTGGGTGGTTTTCATAGATCCCATTTACTGCTTGATTACCATGATGATGTGACTCGCGATTCAGATAACGGTTTGAATGAAAGTCAAATCACGATTGGAGCCGATAGATAAGCTGTCAACTCGGCGGCGAAAGTGGAATACAGTTGGCTGTGTCCCCTTCACTAGAAGTTCATCCGCCGATGCATAAGAAAAATGAGGTGGGAAAGTTAGGGGGCTACCAACTTCGTTCGACCCACCTGAAACAAGCGGCAGGGGAAACTTCAGGTCAAACCCATTAACTTTCTGAACTTGATTATATTATTGTCTGTCAGACCAGCGCCAGACGAGCTCTGCCAATCGAAGTGCATATGCAGAACTTGACAAAAGTAAAATTTGGCAATACACTTTGAAAATTTCAAGGGTGCCAGTTTATTGACAAATTCAGGTGGGTGACACCCCAAAGCACCGTTGTGTATGGCCGTTTTGGGACTAGATATTCTATACACTCTAAATGTCTTACGAAGAAATTTCCCATAATACGAAGGAAATGGCGCAAGCATAATACGAAGGTGGTTTTTCTTCGTATTACGAAGGTTTTTCTTTGTATCTTACAATGAAAAAGCTTAAAAGATTCGTATTACGAAGGAATATTGCTTCGTATTATGCTTGCGCCGAATTCACTGTAACATACGAATAACATAGGTCAAATTTCATTGTAAGACATTTAGAGTGTACGGCCATATTGTCTGCGATCCAGGGGGCATTCACTGTAGAAATCTTGTGTCCCCTTGAGCGCTAGAAATCTCTGGAAATCTGAAATCTTTCCTCCCAAAAGGCAAAAAAAAAAAACAAGCAAATTTTGGGCATAATATCGGTTAAAATCTTGCGAATTCCGACGAAATCTTTAACCTTAAAAAATCTTGTGTCCCCAAACATCCAATGTGGTTGCCCCCTCGTTGGCTGTACTCAACTGTATCGCCTTTGGGTTTTGGAGTGTCCGCGCCTGATTGGTCAGAGTGACGTCACACTAGCTCCTAGCGTAACTCGGCGGGGCGGCGTACCTGAGCAAGGGATTCGTGCCTCTTCACGTCGCCCCACTGCGATGACGTGCGATGCCGCATTGTCTGCATTCAACCAAGTGGCGAAAAGATTCGCGTGCCAGCAGCACCTCGCAGTCGCGTGCTGCTCCCCCTTCGGGTCCCCTTCCCCCTTACCTCCCCGACCGCACCCTCGACGCCGGCCTCGCCGAAACAGGTGCTATCTGTTTGACCCCCTATCGCCAAGTAATTATTCAGCTGCCTTTTCAATGTTTCACGTGGAAAACACGAGAAGTGTCACACAAAAGTTGAGTCGACGGGGGGAAAGGGGGCCGGACGAAAGAGCGGGGCAAAGTTTGGAGGGAAGGGGACTTGTTAATGCATGTTGGCGCGAGTAGCCTGCCTACCCGTCTCCGAAGAACAGTGGCGTACCGCGGCCTCATTACGCAACGGCCGTCTGATGCCGAGAGTCGTTTTCGTCGCTCTGTCCCTGTCGCACCTTTACGGGACGCCCCATGCAGTGCGAGAGGGACAGAGCGACGAAAACGACTCCCAGTCTGCTGACGGGGTCACGTGCTGCCACACGGCTGACCGAATACGAAGTGCGCCGCACCGTGTAGGCAGCCCCTCGACACGCACTCACAGACACGCGCGCACACGCACACACGCACACACGGACACGCAACCACAACAACAGAACTCTTGCCGTCCCCTCCTCTCGCTTTGCCATTCTCCCATCCTCGACTGAATGAGCTGTCATGTTCTAATCGAGAGTTTGAAGCGAGGGCCTGGTCACCGTGTATGACGCCTTCCAGAGTCTCCCTGTCCCTCTCTCTCTCTCTCTCTCTCTCTCTCTCTCTCTCTCTCTCTCTCTCTCTCTCTCTCTCTCTCTCTCTCTCTCTCTCTCTCTCTCTCTCTCTCTCTCTCTCTCTCTCTCTCTCTCTCTCTCTGTCAGGTCCCATAGGTGCATGAAGGGACAACAGACCTCCGTCATTCGCACCCTCCGGCAAAGTCGTATGCAAATCAGGGCCTGTCACTGGCAGGACTATTTAGAGGGCGGGAATGTCAAAAAAACAATCAAGCGCACAAAAACGAGAACGGCCAACCGGCGGTAAAATACCCGCGAAGAACACGCGCGGCCGTATTTCGTCTCGTCGTATTTCAAAAATATGCTCCAAACGCCGCGTTCGCCGAATTCATGGCACTGTGCGCAGGATTTTCTTTTCGCCATACATTAATCGTGGCGGCATGTTTTACAGTGGTGCTCCGTAGAGACAAGTCCGAAACAGACTGTTAATTTTCGTTATGTTCTTTTTTTCTTTCAAGGACTGAACTCCCTTATAACTCGCTGCAGAATAACCCTCTCAGGCTGCTTTGTAATCTCGCGCCAAAATACGAGTTCTCTCCCGTAGGTTTATGCCGACGGCATTTTTAAATACCGGAATCTAGTTAAGGAGCTGCAGGCGGCAAGGGAAACACTCACTGCGAATGTACTCTGGTGTTGCTTTCATCCACACCTCTAATCCCATTTCCAAGTGGAAACGAACCGCACGCACGCGAGCTGCGCCAGCCTGCGCCAGCCCAGGGCTTATCAGTCTGCTGCACAGTCAGCGCAACACACAAGGTGGCGCTCCAACTCGCTGTGCGGCAAATACAACTTGGACGTACTACTGTGGGCCCAGAAGACCGGTGGAGACGGTCAAAATCTCGGACGCGTTTTGAGCTCCAGAGTCGCTGAATGGGTCTCGAATCGAACGTGTGACCCTGCCAATGGATTGCTCTCCGAATGAGGAATCCATTCCCAAAGAACAGAAATTTGTCATCCAGACGTCAAATGATATCAAAGAATGGTCAAAATCCTGTTTGTCAGAATGACATCATTGTCGACGGTCAAAGTAAGGGAATTTTGACGTCAAGTTGATGTCAAATGATGTCACGAATCCATTTAATGTATAAAGGATACGACTCTACTCA